GATGGGGCATTTAAGGGGTGGCCAGGTCCCGCCAGCATGACAGGCATGGAGAACATGGGGCTGGTGCCTGGTAAAAGTACCCTGAGCGACAGAAGATAAGACTGGACAACCGGGGCCAGCATCACAAAGCACAAAGGCTGAAATCCTGTGAGCACTTACTATGAGCCGAGGCTGCACGAGGCTTTTCTTGTTTACTCCTCACACTCACTTTATGAGGTGGATGCTATCATTATTAGGCTACTATTCCAGATGGAAGGAATAGAAACAATCGGCAAATGCAGTTTTCAAAGCAAAAGGGGGGGTCGTGGTGCTGAGCCCTCCCTCAGCACCCCCTGGGCCCCAGCCCTGGGTGGGAGACGGGGAAGAGGGGAAAGGGGTCTGGGCCCGGGGTCGGCCCTGAAGCAGGGCGACTGATCCCCACCACAAATCAACAACTCACCCTGCAAGGAGCTCAGCGGGCCATCAGGAGCTTTGAAGCTGCCAGTGTTAACCCCACTTTACAGATGAAGAAACTGAAGCTGAGAGGTGGAATTACCTGCCCAAGGTCCCCAACCAGGGTGGCCACAGCCAGAATTCAAATCTAGGTCTAGGTGACGGGCCTAACTCAGTGCTCTACCTCTCATACCACATTCCCAAGAAAACGGGGCACCCAGGTGAATGGGGGAATGGTGATAAAAATCAAGTGGCAGAACCAACCAAATGAATGGACAGAATTTCTTTGAATCTAACTTTTTTCTCCAAGCTTTTCTTGAATTTCTGGTGACTCTTATTACTTATCTCCTGGACAACCAAGGCAGAGGCTGGGGTCATCCTGACAGCATCCTCTGTAAACAGAGGCCCTTGTAGCACCGTGTTACTTTTCTGCTAATGAAACCGCTCCTAGTCCCTACAAACAGCCTATTTCTTAGGGCTCTCTGCTGAGCGCGACAGCATTCACGTGAGCTCAGTTAAATCGCTGGATCCTTGGACACAGACACCAGGTAGCCTCGTGGCATGTTCTAGAAGACATCTCTGTGCCTAGTATGAAACGCTGAACAGTATGGGCTAGGGCAGGACTCCTCAACCATGGCCCTGTGCGAGAATCACCTAGTTCCTGGTTAAGAGTCTGCAGGCCCCATCCCCAGAAGATGGGATTCAGCAGGTCTGGGGCAGACATGGCAAGTCTCGTGCCTACACTCTGACTAGCCCTAAACCACCCAAATGGCCCCCTTGCCCTCTGCTTCTGTTCTAGCTGGGTCCAGTCAGGAAGGTAAAGAATGCTCTACTCCCTCCCTCCCTCCAAGTCTGGTAGCCACCCCTCCCATCCGGGGTGCACACACCTTTGCAAAGTGACTGTAGCTACTCCAAGGAGAGATGGAGCCTGTTTCTCCATCCCTTGCTGCTGCCACAGGCCACGTGATCTGCTCTGGCCAATGGGATATAAACAGGGGCTCCCCGATACCCAGTCTAGCCTACTGAACGGTGAGACCAGAGCAGAGATGAGTCATCCCAGCAGAGGCCCCCACCCCACCAGTAACCAGTCTGCTAACCACCAGACACAAGACCACTGACACGATCCAGCCCTGGCCAAGCCAGCCCAGAAGAAACCACCTAGCTGGCTCCCAGTCTGGAGAAACGATTCAAATTGATGAGCACTGAGTGCTTGCTATGTACCAAGGTCCTGCCGAACGGCTCTGCACGTATTTAATTAGCAATCCTCACAACAGTCCTGTAACATAAAAACTACTGCAACTGCATTTTACAGATGAGGAAACAAGGCACAGAGAACACATTTTGTTCAGGACACACAGAGAACAATGGGGATTTGAACCCAGAGGCCACACTTTTAACCATTATGTCCTAGTGCCCCTCAAAGTCCCTCACCCCCAACCAGCCTCCCCGCCAAGAAGGGAAGCTGCAGTCCCCTCACTTTAACCCAGCAATGATCTCTCCAAGTGTCTTTGCCTGTCTGGCTTGTCCCCCCAACCACACTGAGCAGCCTGAGGACTGGGCAAAGAGCAGGGTTCAGGCGCAGACGAAATCAAAGGGGACACAGACACAGAGCCACAATCTCAGAGCCGAAGAGGCCTTGAGAATCACCGTGTCTGCCTCCTGTTTCTTATAGATGAGGAAACGGGGGCCCAGAGAGGGGGAAATTCTGCCCATCATCACCCCGTCAATTCCTGGCCGAGTTAGGACGAGGCCCCAGGTCTCCCAACCCCCAGGACTCCCATTACTGAAAACTGAGCCCCTAAAGCCCAATGACCCAGGAAGAGAGGGTACCCACCTTTGGTGTGTGATGCGCCATCTCCTGGGAACACATAGGCATCCTCCAGCTTGGTGATGTCAAACAGACAGATGCAGAGGCCCACGTTGTACACAACCTGTGTGCAATCGGACACGGATGAACACATCACACACACACACACACACACACACACACACATACACGGTGACCCCGAGGGCCAGCTCCCAGGCAGTCTCTCTTGAGACCCTCACCACCTCAGGGCAGGTATGATCACCCCCATTTTACAGCTGGAAATGAGTTGGGACACTGCCTGAAGTAACCACAGATAAGGAACCTTGGAAGGATGTGGAGCTCTGGAAAAAACAGGGCCTTTGGTGACAAGACAGATCCAGGTTACAATGCCAGCTCCACCACCTACTGCATGACCTCCAAGGTCACCTCTCTGAGCCTCAGCTTCCCTGCAAA